GGAGTGATTATTGGCTTGCTCTTCATGGCTTGCTCAGCCTGCTTTCTTATAGCACGCAGGACCACTTGTCCAGGAGTGGCACCACCCACAGTGGGCAGGGTCCTCCCACATCAATCATTATTAAGAAAATGCCCTATAGGTTTGCCTCCAGTCCAACCTTATTTAGGCATTTTCTCGATTGAGGTTCCACTTCCCAGATAACTCTAACTTGTATCAGGTTGAGAAAAACTAGTCAGGACAGAGGGGAACTACGGGTCGAAGAAGGGTCCACACTTGGGGCAGGGAGACTTGTGCCACACTCTGGGGAAATCTGGCCAATCAGAAGAAATGTTCACAGTGAAGCCCATTCAGTTAGTTTCCTTGATAGTCCCTTCCCTTCCCTGGCAGTCACGGCTATGCCCGGTGGCAAGACATCCAGAATGATGCTCAGTTTGCCATTATCAATGAGCCGTTTAAGACCGAAGCCAATAAGGGGAACTTCCTGGAGATGAAAAATAAGTTCCTGGCCCGGAGGTTCAAGGTGGGGATGAAAAAGGAAAGAAGTAGGGTGAAGAAGGTCTCGGGTCGGAGGTTGTCTAGGGGGGGTGTTAACATCTTGAGAGTTGAGGTAGCACTTGGGGCTAAGATCCGAGTGTACCCTTGTGATGGAAACTGGTCTGCCTCGGCCTTGATGTCGGGGGACAGAGTAGCTCTCCAGTGCTGTGTCCTGCCCGCTGCTCACCTCTGTGCTCACCTCTGTGCTCACCTCTGTGCTCACCTCTCTCCTGCGCCCTTAGCTCCTGGAGCAGGCGCTGGTGATCGAGGAGCAGCTGCGGCGGGCGGCCTACCTGAACCTGTCACAGGAGCCGGCGCACCCCGCCATGGCCCTCCACGCCCGCTTTGCCGAGGCCGAGTGCCTAGCCGAGAGCCACCAGCACCTCTCCAAGGAGTCGCTGGCAGGGAACAAGCCGGCCAACGCCGTCCTGCACAAGGGTAAGGGCCGCGGTGGCCCCGCGCGGGGGAGGGCCCACAACGCTGCGTAAGTCTTCACCCCGCACCCTTCAAAATCTTCCCACACCCTTCGCCCCCTTACCCCTCTACCCTCTGACCTCTAACCCCACCTCTGACCCAGCTGGCACCCTTTTGGGTTTTAGCCTTTATCCCTTGTCTGAGCCCATTCTCCCCACTGCTAGGGTTCACATCCGTGACCGGTAGGGTACCAGTCACCTCATTCAGTGGGACCTCATCCCTGGGAGTGCGACCACATGGTTGTACCTGCTATGATCCTGATAGCTTTAGTTTGTGTGTGTACACCACAAATGTCCTTAGCTTTGAGCCCACAGATCACTTTCTTAGTACCTCCTTCATCCTATGAAGTGAAAACTCCTGCCTATCCACCCTTGACCATACCCCATAAAACTTACCTTTGACCTCAACCTCTTCTCCCACATCCTTCTCCTTGACAATTATAGGTTAAGTCCCAGAGCCTTCCTGACCCCCTAACAGCACCTGGTGTAGTGACCGACTCCTGCCTTAGGTCCCTCTATGTAATGCTGGCCCCTTCACTTGCCTCCCCGTTATGTGCTAAAACTGATTCCTTCAATCATACTACCCCCGTGCCTCCAATTCCTCCCCACCATCCCCACACCCTAAGCCTTCCTGTTCCAGTATGGGATGTTCTGACAACCCCCGACCCCATGTCTTCCAATGTCTTCCCCTCCTCTTTTCCATATTCTTTCTTCTTCCTCTTCATTTCCATTTGTCCTGTGTGGTGTCTGGCCTGACACTTTCCTCCTCTGAATCGCTCCTTTCCTGTCTACTTCCTGTCGTTTTTTGTCACTGTGGTTCTTTGATGTCTGTGTCCTCTCTTTCTGACTGTACTTGTCCATCTGACTGTCACTTTTTCTGGCTCCATCTCTCTTTCCATCTTTCTCTTGCCCTTCTTTCTCTGTGGCCCGGGCCCCAGTTCTGAACCAGCTGGAGGAGTTGCTGAGCGATATGAAGGCGGATGTGACCCGCCTGCCAGCCACGCTGTCCCGAATACCCCCCATCGCAGCCCGCCTTCAGATGTCCGAGCGCAGCATCCTCAGCCGGCTGGCCAGCAAGGGCACAGAGCCTCACCCCACACCGGTAACCCCCTTTCCCCTGTTTCTGTCAGTGCCCCTTCTACACACACGCACGCACGCACGCACGCACGCACATGCTCCATCAGAATCCTACATATATGGAGAAACAGCCTGCTACAATAGTCTTCACCTTGAGTCTCCCTGCCTGTCCCACAGCCTCTAATAATTCTGGAGCATGATCCCTCTCCTCTAGACTGTGGATGAACTAACCTCAGCTTGCTCTCTATTCCAGGCCTTTCCCCCGGGTCCTTACGCCACACCACCGGGGTACGGGGCAGCCTTCAGCGCCGCTCCCGTAGGGGCTCTGGCCGCCGCAGGCGCCAATTACAGCCAGATGCCTGCAGGGTCCTTCATCACAGGTAGATGGTTGTTCCGACTCGCTTCTCCCTCAGTTTTGCCAAACATTGTTCCTGCTTGACTCCCCTGCCCTGTTTAAACCCACCTCTCTTCCTCGAAAGTGTCCACTGTTTAGGGAAGAGTTGTTCTGGGCTTGTTTTATCTGTTCCTTTGTATCCCTTCTTCTATCCCCATGACAAAACTCTGTCAATCAGGAGGCCAAGGCAGGATTCCTGAGAGTCCTCAGGCCAGCCTGGGCTGTGTGGTCATGCACACATTTAATCCCAGCACCTGGGGGGCAGAAGCAGGTGGATATCTGTGAGTTCGAGTTCCAAGACAGTGAGGGCTAAGAAGAGAGATCCTTTCTCAAAAAAAAAAAAAACAAAAAAACAAGAAACTAAAAGCCTCACATATCATGTGACTTCGTATCCCCCGCATTTCCTCAAGAAGTGAGCGTGAATTCAGAAAGGCTCCAGCATCAGACCTGTCATACTGTGACATCAGGGGACTCTGAAGAGGGCTTCACCCGAGTCCTACATTTATAAGAAAAATCAGAGTGGGAGGAAATGACGTGGCCGTGGGGGAGGCTTTCATCGGGGAGTGATGTTTGCGATGTAGGGACTGACCTTTCCATACTCGTCTCCCCAAGCAGCCACCACCAACGGCCCCCCAGTTCTGGTGAAGAAAGAGAAGGAAATGATGGCAGCCTTGGGGTCAGACGGGCTGGATCGGAAGGAGCCCCGAGCAGGGGAGGTGATTTGTATAGACGACTGACTGGATCTCAGGCCTGCCCTTCACCTAGGCCCCGACCCCGGAGCCGACCCACATCTCAGGCCTTGGGGCCTGCTGCCAACCCTCCACCTTCCCCACCCCTTGGGCCACCACTGGGCTAAGAGCCCTTCTGCCCCTCTATGACTTCTCCCTTCAAGAAGGACCCTATCTCTCTCCACCTCCACACACCTTTCCCACCAAACCTTGAAGACTGTGCTGGTGTGAAGAGGTCTGTGGGAGATGGTTAGCAGGGTCTTCAAGTACCCTTGCTCCCCACCACCAAATATACAGCTTCCCACTAAATGATTGTGGGGAGGGGAGAGGTGGAGCCTCCCCAGTCCTTACCTGCAGAATCACCTCCACCTCCTGCAGAAGTGGGGGTTAGCCTTGCCTGGCCGCTAAGAGCAACAAAGAGGAGGGTACGTCATTCCAGAGGGATGAGAAGGGCACCAGGGGAAGGAAGGGAAGGGGAGGGGAGGGCGGCTGCATGCCACTTTCCCTGCCTCCACACGGAGGGTGGGCGGGCGCAGCAGCTACAAAGGAGGGAGTTGATTGCTGTTCAGTGGCTCACTTGCCTCCTGTGTACCAGCATCTTGCTTTAGTAACCTTCCTCCTCCCTAGGGACCAAGGACCACCCCCACAGAGTAACGGTTGGGTGATACTCCCTCAAGCCAAAGAGGAGCTCCCCAACCTGCTCTAGGAAACCTAGAGAGGGTGGGAGAGAATACAGAGGGCCAGACATGGGGGCAGACCCCCACTCTGGGGCTCAGGTTTCTGGAGGACTTAAATCCTCCCTCCTCAAGGCCTGGATACAGACTAAATTTGAGTAGGTCAGGCCAGGGGCCTAGTCAGGAGACTACCTTGCCTGTGGGACCAGAGCAACATAGTGGATAACAGGCTAAGGAGATATGGGCACATCCCCTCCACGGAGGGGCCAGGGAGTGGCAGTTTGCATGGGGAACCCCCACTTCCTCCTTGCTGCCCCTTTCCCAGTCTCTTCGCTCCTACTCCTGGTCTGTCCCCATCCCTCTTCTGTATCAGGTTATCGGTTGTACATATAAATTATACTTTCCTTTCTGTGTGCTGTCGTTTTTTTACCTGGGGAGGGGGAATCCTTGTATGGAGGTAAGACAGTAAGAAAGATTATTGCTTTGTACTATTTCATCTTATTAACCCCACCCCACCCTTTTTTTGTTTGGCTTTTGAGACAGGGTTTCTCTTTATATCCCTGGCTGTCCTGGAACTTCCTTTGTAGCCAAGGCTGGCCTTGATCTCTTAAACCATTCAAGAATCAAAGGAGTACCACTGCTGGGGGCGGGGCGCGGAGGGCAGAGTCCCTCTGTGTGGCCCTGGCTGTCCTGGAACTTACTTTGTAGACCAGGCTGGCCTGGAACTCAGATCCTTCTGCTTCTGCCTCCCAAGTGCTGGGATTAAAGGTGTGAGCCACCACCGCCTCCATTCAGGAATCAAAATAAGACCTCTTCTCAATACCAACCACATCATGAGCTCAGTGTAGAGTTGGTGAGCAGCAGGATCCCTGAAGCCACAAATGCTAAGTGGTGAGCAGAGCAGCCTTCCTGACATGAGGGAGAGGTGCCTAACACTGAAAACTGCTTCCCCCAAGAGTCAGTAGAGGTCACTACAGCTCCACAGGTTCAATTTCACTATGAAGCAGAAAGTTTTTATTTAAATTTTGTTTTAAAGAACTGGGGTCAGTCCGGTGTCCCTTGTGAAGGATTTAAACTGCTGGACAACACTTTGTATTATTCAGTAACAGCCTTTCACAGGTTGAGTGAGCCAAGATACTTTATTCTTGAGACTTACATTAAAAATAAATTCAGCAAACATTTTTTGAGTACATATTATACATTAACACTGCGATTGGCACTAGAGACAGTCATTTGGAGTTTACACTCTGGAAATACTCAAAACATAAAATATTAGAAAATAAATGCAGCATTCACTTTGACAGCACATATACAGAAATATGACAATAAGGTACATCGCAACAGATGCATGCTGGACTCCAAAAGAGGACATTTAGCTGAAATTAAGGACAGGAAAATGACAAAACTTTTTAAACAGGTTTATACTCTATAACTAGATAAATTATTGTCAATAAAAAGCTCTTGAAGACCTCTGAAAACTGAGGTCTATTGTAAATTCACATTTTTAGCTCAGAAAAGAATGTTTTCTTCCACAATAGAATGTCACTTTAGAACCTTAAAGCAGGGTGTCATCAGTGTTTTAAATGTCCCACCCACAGGTGATGATGACATCCTGGAGTGACTAAGATCTAAACCAGTGCTTCTTAACTTACATCACCTGGGATTCTGAAAACCTAGTCTGGGAATGAGGACTGGGGTCCTGAAATTCTGCACTTCTAGCAAGCTGTGAGACCAACACTGTTGGTCTTGATTTTAAGTCTATAGTAAGATATTTACAGGACTTTAAAATAGAACTAATCACATATGATAAGCCATGTCCCATTATGGGACACAAACAAAATTATGTGAGCATCTTTTTTTTCCCCCAGTATTGCTACAGAGTCTGTAAAGATAACAGATAAAGGTTAAATTTTGATTCCTTTATCAAGTGGCTCACCCATCCTTGATAAGCCTTAATTAAGGCCTCATATAAACGCCACTTGGACATTTTCCGTACCTGCCTTATCAAGCTGAAGGGAGATTGTGTATGCAAGGCTTCCAATCATAATCAGGGAGGCAACACAGTAATTTCTAGAACAAGGAACCAAGAGTGGGAAGATGGCATGCCAGCACACACATAACCAGACAAGTGAGATTGACATCATTAGCTTATCCCCTGTCCTGTCTTTTTTAAAGTAAACACTTCCAACCACTGACCACTGCGAAAACAGGATGTGCTGCTTACACCACAGCCTCCCTGAACAAACGCGAAGCCTATAGCTCTGAATGTTTTCTTCCCACATCACCGTACACTCTGTTTTTATTATCCCTTGGCCACCGCCATCCTGAACACAATGTGAAGCTGGCAGTCTAGGAGCCTCCGCCGCTCAAAATTCACACCACCTAGGGTACTTTCTGTTCAACTCCATCACGAACGTACCAATTCCAGCATCAGAGAGGGCAGTCTTGACATCAACCCTTTGTATTAGAGCACGCCCGAAGAAGATGCTGCTCCCACCTGCCTTCTCTGCCATAGCTCCCAGGTTCTTCGGTTACAGCGTGCAATGGGTCATGTGGGCAATGTCCTTGACCTCTGGACAGTAGAGCACTGGAGGAAAGAAGAAGGATTAGTGGCAGCATGAGGATGCAACCTGACCCAGCATTCTTGGGCGCTCGGTGCCCAGCATCCTCCCTAGGCGGCCCCTCACCATTGCTAGGCAACGGACGCCGCAAGCGGCGCGCCGGCGCCAGGACCCTGTCCAAGATGCGGCGAACCGCGCGCCAACCCGCACTTGTAGGTCCCGCCCCCTTCTCGCTCTTGTCTTCCCCGCCGCCGTCGTCCTCTCCGTTGTCTCCGCTTTCCTTGGCCAGGCTCCCCGTCGGGTCTCGTTCGCGCTCAGCCCGCGCTTTTTCCTCCAGCCGTGACCACAAGCCGGGGTCCAGCGCGATCTCCGAGACGCCGCCGCGCGGGAGCGGGGAGGGCGCGCGGCAGAACGGGCACGTGACAGCGCGGCGCAGGCGCACCACGCGCGCGGCCGTGCGGCCGCCGTCGCCCCGCGCCGCCAGCTCGCGCAGGCAAGCGGTGCACAGTGTGTGGCCGCAGCGGGCGCGCGCCGTGCCGGGCAGGCGGCGGGGCGCGCGGGCCCCAAGGTTGAAGGGTCGGTAGCAGATGTTGCAGTCCAGCTCACCCCGCTCGGGAAGAGAAGGCACCCTCATCAGGAGCTGCATGGTGGCCGCGGCGACCCGGGGACGTCGATCCCGCGGCGGCTAGGAGACAGAACAAGCGGCCCTCCTTGGGCCAGGGCTGGGGCCTGGGGCCGGCGCCGCCGCCTCGGTCCCCTTTTAATAGTGAGGCCCCACCCTCGAGGCGTCACGCACCAGATCGGCCGCTCCCTTCCGTGGCACGCGTCGGGGCGGTGGAGGCGCGAGGCTGGGAATGCACTGAGTGGGGGCGCAAGCGGGGTGAATGCCCACACGATGCCAGAACTGCCCGAGGGGAGGAGAGGGGGACACGCACCACCCACTGCCCCCTTGGCGAACTCCTCCCCCCCAGCAAAACACCCACCGGCGCCATAATTAAACGTGGAGCAGATCCCCAGGTCCCCTCTTGCACACAGCCACTGGCTCGAGTCTCAAGGGCCCTCTTAGCCTACTTGTCACATGTTCATACTCTTTCTCAACCTCCCACAAACAGGCTACACATGCCAGGTTTACTACTGGTTCTGCCCAATTTTAATTGGGTTTCTGGATGTTTGGATTCATGCCGCCCTCGCCTCTCTTTTTTATACATGACCTCTTGGGTTCTCGTAAGGCTCCTTAAATTTCATCCTCCATCAAAGAGTTCGATTCCAGCAGCTAACATCTCGGCCTAAGGAGGGACTCAGATTCCAGGAGCATGGCCTTAGGAATGCTGGGAATCTTTTCCTTCCAGAGTATCCAGGCTCAGACACCCACACAGTATGATGGTTGAAACGAAGCAGCCCTGCATGACTTCTGACTCAGGGGTCTGACTTCTCGCACAGGTAAACAGGACGTGGTGCTCACAACCCACATTCCCTCATGGTGTGGTGCCCACACCCAAGCAGCCTCCTCATCTTCTCTTGTACTGGTAGCCCAGGTTCTGTTGCAGAGGATAATAAACAAGTCTTGAGACAGCTGGCTAGAGTACCAATCCTGGTTGTGACATCACAGGCAAGTTACTTAATTTCTCTGGGCCTTGATTTCCTCATCTACAAAATGTGGATAATAATAGTAAGGATCGAAAGAGCTTGTGTTTGTAAGGTGTTTTAAATGACACCCGGGACACAGTAAACACTAGATAAGCAATACCTATTATTATCGTTATCATCCCTGGCTCCAAACGTGCATTGTGTTCCCTTTAACTTCTCGGGTACCCAGTATTTCACATAAAGCATCTCTTGGTTTATCCAAGACGGGTTTCTCTATATGCATAGCATTTCCTGGTCCATCACAGGTAAGGTAGAGCTCGCTTGGTTTTGTAACATTAGAGTTGTTAAAACCTGGAGGGTAATCTTGGTTTTGTTTTCTGAGACTGGGTCTCACTATGTAGCCCTGGCTGGGCTGGAACTCTGTGTGTAGTTCTGGTTTGGCTTCAAACTCACAAACGATCGGCCTGCCTCTGTCTGCCGAGTGCTGGGATTAAAGGCGTTTATTACCATGCCTACCAAGGTAATCTTTTACCCAGTCTAATTCGGAATTCACTGTGTAGCCTAGACTGGTCTCAGACTCATGGCGGTCCTCCTACCTCAGCTTCCAGAGCCCGGAATTATAGCTTTGGAAAGGAATCTTTTTGTGAGATTTACCTGAGGTTTATTTTATATTTCATTATGTATGTTTGTGGGTCTGTGTGCGTGTGCACATGAGTGCAGGAGCCCCCGGAGCCCAGAAGTGGGTGTCAGATCTCCTGAAGCTGGAGGTACAGGTGGATGTGAACTGCCCAACGTGGGTTCTAGGATGACACTGGGTCCTCTGTGAGAGCAGCACAGACTGGTGGCCTGAGACTGGCCTGGAACTCTACAGAGAGCTGAAAATGACCTTCAACTCCTGATCCTTCCTACGTCTGCTCCCCAAGTGCTAGGGTTAGAGGTGTGTGCCATCACATCCTGCTTTGGTTTGCCATTATTTTGGTGTACCATCAAGCAGATGGTAAGAATTTAGGAGCTTGGTTGCTTTCATGGTCACTTGGGAGAACTCGTCCACTTATTCCAGTGACACTGTCATAATTCAAACCTTTTGTAGGACTTTTCTTTGGAAAGGTGAGCCTCACATTTTAAAATATCTTCAGGAGGCTGGCAAGGTGGCTCAGTGCTTAAGAACATCTGCTGCTCTTCCAGAGGACCTGAGTTCAGTTCCCAGCACCTATGTGGGGCAGCTTACAATTGCCTGTAACTCTAGCTTCAGATGTGAATCTTTTCTAGACTCCACACACCTGCACACACCTGCCATACATACACACACATGCACGCATACATACAAAACAAACTTCAACTGAGGGTAAATTTTAATCTGTGCTTGTATGGATGTCCATGTTTATGATGTGTGTGGATTCCTGTGTGTAATTCATGCTACGGCACATGTGTGAAGACCAGAGGATGACCGCAGGGGTCCTCATGTGCACCCTCTTTGGCTTTTCCTGTTGTTGGTAGTGGGTGTGTGTTCTTGAGGTAGAGTATGTAGCCCTGACTGACCTGGAACTATGTAGACCAGGCTGGCCTCAAACTCACAGAGTTCTGCTTGCCTCTGTCTCAGAGTGTTAGGATTACAAGCATGCACCACCATGCCCAGCCTAACCTTGCTTAAGACAGGATTTCACAGGTTTGTACGCCAGGATAGCTGGCCCACAAGCTTCTGGGATTCTGAGGATTCTCCTGTATTCACCTCCCACCTGCTGTAGGAGAAATGTGATTACAGACACTCAATCATGACGCTCAGTTTATGTGAGGTCTGTGGATTCAAACTGAGGTTCTCACACTTGCGTTCAGGCACCTTACCCAGCAAGTCATCTCCCCAACCCAAATCTTAATTATGGAAGGTAGAATAAAACCAGTCCGAAGCGTCTCCCCACCAAGGGTCCCTCTAAGCCGCTCATCACGTCACCTGCTCCACAGCCTTTATCACCAAGAACCCAGACTGGTGATTCCCTTTCCCGAGCCAGACCTTCTTCCGGCTTTTCACTCCCTTCCTCTGCTAGCTCCATCACCCTGGGTGAAACCCTTAAGCTCTCCCTTCCCTTCACAGTCCTTTATTGACCCATCTCCAAGCCCAGGTCATTCTGTCCCTTTAATAGCCAACCCACCTACTTATCTCCACCTCTTGCCCACCCTCCTGGTCCAAGCTCTCGTCATCTCTCACCTCCCTATCCAGTTAATTCAAAACGCTGGCGTTCTACAAGCTTCCCCCATGGTGGTATTTACAGAGAGCTCTCCAATCTCAACCCATCGCATTCTATCACCGCTTCCACTCCTCTGTAAAATCTCTTAATGTAGTGAGTGTTGTTGGGTGGCTCCCGGATCCTTTGCCACCGCATCATCAGTCAGGGCCTAGACTAGGCATGGTGGCACACAACTGTAATCCCAGCACTTAGGAGGCTGAGACAGAAGGATTGGGAGTTTGTGGACCACCCAGACTACACAGTGAGACTGTTTCCAAACAAACAAAAAGAATCTACTTCCCTATCTCAGCAATGGAGGATGGCTTTGTGACCAGCCTTGACCAGTTACTAGCATGAAGCAGAAATCGTGTGTGTGTGTGTGTGTGTGTGTGTGTGTGTGTGTGTGTGTGTTCTGGAGCCTCGGCTTCCACAGCATTGCACCTCTATCTGCTGGAAGGTTGCCCTCAAATCACCACAGAAGGAAGTAGGGTTAGACCTAAGCACTGTGGAAGGAAATGGATGCACCCCAGGCAATGGCTAGTCCTGACATGCTACTGAAGCCATCTGGAATATTCCTGCTCAGTTAACCTGCTTAGTGAATACAGCCACATGAACGAACCCAAGTCCTGGCCAACTCACGGAATCATGAAAAAAAAAATGGGTAATGTATACATTTGTTTTTAAATTATTTTTAATTCCTCTCCCCCACCTCCCGCCCCGTGTGTGTATATATGTTTATACAGGTGCCTGCTGAGGCAAAAGAGGGTGTCAGACGCCACCCAGGGTGGAGTTATGGGGGTGTGAACCACCTGAAGAGCCACAGAAGGACATGGGTCCTCTGCAAGAGCAGTGTGCATCTAAACTGTTCAGTCATCTCTTCAGCCCTCCTCCCACCTCACCTCAATTTCATTTTTGTTTTGTTTTGTTTTGAAGACAGGGTTTCTTTGTGTAGCTTTGGAGCCTGTCCTGGAACTCACTCTGTAGAACAGCCTGGCCTTAAACTCAGAGAGATCCACCTGCCTCTGCCTCCCGAGTGCTGGGATTAAAGGTGTGCACCACCACCGCCTGGCTCAATTTCATTTTAAAAAGTTGTTTCAAGTCACTAGATTTTGGGATGATTGGTTTATTTACTAACAGATAACAGAAGTAGATACTACCCTGTTATCTTGATGATTAAGATAATACCCTGGGATTAAAGGTGTGCACTCAGCACTTGGGAGGCAGAGGCAGGCAGATCTTTGTGAGTTCGAGGCCAGTCTGGTCTACAGAGCGAGATCCAGGAGAGGCGCAATGCTACACAGAGAAACCCTGTCTCAAAAAATCAAAAAAAAAAAAAAAGATAATACTCTGAAATGCCCAGAAGACTTGGTGTGCTCTGACTTCAGTGTGCTCACATGTGAATACTGTTTGCAAAAATTCTGTTTGCTCCTTGGACACTCCAGCTTTGGAGACTTGGATTCTATCATGGTGTGGATCTTAAATGTCCTCCAAAGCCATGTGTTGAAGGTTCCCAGGTGATGGTACATTGGAGAGGGGTTGGAACTGTTAGAATTTATGTTATACCGGGGTGTGTCCTTGAAAGGAATATTGAGAACCCAGCTACTTCCTCTCTGCTTCCCAGATGCCCTAAAGTGAGCAGTTTATTCCACCATGATGGTCTGCCACAGACTCAAGAGCGAATGGGCCAAGCAACCACATGCTGAAAACTCATGAGCTGGAATAAACCTTCCCTTTTTAATTGTTTTTTTTCTCTTATTTTTATTATTTATTAGTATGTGAGAATTTCGTGTGTATACAATGGTCTTTTGATCAAATCCACTTCCCTTTCCTATTTTCCCCAGACCTTTTCCAACATGTTCCCCTCTAAACTTCAGGTCTTTATTTTTTTTAGATACCTCCCTGCTTCCCCTATACACAAAGATGTGGGGCCATTCACTGGATAATCTTTGGTTTGTGGTTTTCTTTCTCTGTAGCCAGGGTCACTATGTATACAGTTCTCTTGCTTTGGTGACAGGGTCCTTCAAGTGTTAGGATCTGAAGATGTGCCGTTATGCTCAGTCCGATTCTGAGTTTTGAGCTGTAAAATGGGACTTCCATAACGTGCTTGGAACAGTGCCTAGCATACAGATGGTGCTCTGAAGTGCCTTGTCTAGCTGGCCTTGGGGCACACTTGCCAGTAGGGAGAGAGAGGAGGATCAGGAGTACAGGCTTACCTTTAGCTGCACAGTGAGTTTGAAGCCAGCCTGGGCTTCATGAGACTTTGTCTCAAGTAAAAGAAAAAGTGTGGCTGCTGATTCAAGTCCGGCGGGAGGAAGCCAGCTCATCAGTGCCGGAGCTGCCCTCACTGACTGGTCTCAAGCAAAGCCTGTGTGGCTCCTGGTTCAAGTCCGGCGGGAGGAAACCAGTGTAAGAACCAGCAATGGAGAAGACAATGGAGACAAGCTTCTGCATGTCTGTGTGGGACAAAGAACCTAACCCTAACCACTGAGCAGCCTGCTGTGGCCTCCCTTCTTAAGACTGGTCTTTACTATGTAGCCCTGCCTGGCCTGGCACTTGCTATCTAGACCAGGCAGACTGGTCTCAAACTCCCCAGGGTAGAGCTGCCTCTAGCATCAAAGGCATGCATCACCATACCAGGCTACATTCTTCAGAAGAATAATGCCTTCTAAAAGTTCTTACTGTGGGGGCCAGCATCAAGACAATTGGGAAGTTGGAAACAACACAGATGTATAAAATAAATGCAAATCTCTTATCAGACAGCATGGGAGGAGGTCTGTGGCCTGGCCTCCCAACACTCAGACGTTTTAATGTCAAATTGTTCATGTTCTCTAAGAGCGTGGGAGTTCTCTACCCGGATGGGGTGCTGTGCTCTTGCTAGCCTAGAGCCTCGGGTCACATTCTTTGCACACACTCCTAGAGCCTCGGGTCACATTCTTTGCACATGCCCCTAGAGCCTCGGGTCACATTCTTCGTACACGCCCCTCCAGGGCCTCAAGCTCAACCAACACCTCCTTGGGCAGACCCTGGTTGACCTGCTCTGTCAGGTAGCTCCTAACATCAGGAACCTCCTGTTCCCGAATTTTGTCTCAGCAACAGGAAGCTGTCTGATGTGTATGCTCCCTTCTCTGCTAGGCCTTTGCAGCCATTACTGGCCTCGCTCTTTTTTTTTTTTTTTCCCCCCCGAGACAGAGTTTCTCTCTGTGTAGCTTTGCGTCTTTCCTGGAACTCACTCTGTAGCCCAGGCTGGCCTCGAACTCACAGAGATCCGCCTGGCTCTGCCTCCGGAGCGCTGGGATTAAAGGCGTGCGCCACCACCGCACCCGGCACCCTCACACTCTTGCTTTCACACTCACACCCTCTGCTCTCACACACCCCGGCTCGATGCTGCCGACGCCATAGGCCTCCCTCTGGACACCAGGCAACAGAAGTTTGCACTGGAACAGTCACAGGCGACTGTCTCTCTCAGCAGCAAACGACATGACGGTAGCTCCATATCCCTATGCCACACCACGCAAGGACTCCATACACCAAATATTCATTACATTCGTGAATAGGGTGGGCGAGGAATGATGGCAGATGCTTATATACAAAGGACGTGGGACAATCAAGGAAGGTTTTGTTGACAAGGGCCTTCTAAACTGTCTCGAGGGAATTCTGAGAGGAGGCTTTAAAGTGTGTTGAACCGAAGAAGGAAAATACAGAACAAAAGTGCTGTGCCGGGGAGGCAGGTCAGAAGCAGCGCACTGCTCTCCAGGAGAACTATTTAAGGGAATACTATTTTGAATTGATCAATTCTTGTATGTTTGTCACAGAAGAACTAATCATAGCTTAGTCATACATTTCACTTTGGTTCCCCCACAGTCTTCCAGGATGAGTGGGAGACGAAAGGGGCGGATGGAGGTACTCATTAGTGGATCCTGAGGCTGTTAATCCAGCCAGGAGACGGCAGGATGCTCAGTCTCTTTTGGAAGTTAGTTTTCCTCTGCACTCCAGCTCTAGGACTGAGGCAGGAGGAGCAGGGGAGAAGGGAGCCGCTGAGGTTGTATTTAAGGGTGGCAGAAGTCATCTCCCTTGCCTTGTGATCACTGCAGGATGTGACTTCCCACCCACGTCCTTTCCTCCAAGAGTCCATAAGGAGGAAAATGGAGGCTTCACCTGAAGAGCCCCCTGGACTCCGGCTTTCCGCTGCCTTCCCACCTGGCCTTTCGCCACTTTCCCTTGCAAGTTATGGCTCCCCCCCACACTCTGTGTCCCCTCACCTTATCACCATCACATCACAAAACCACAACCCCCGTGACCTTTCCCATCCAGCCACAACAAAGCCGCTTCATTTCTGGGTACCCGAAGGTACAGGACAAGAAGGAAAGGAAGCTTACAAGTCAGGAAGTGTGGCAGATAAAAACTCGTGTGTGTGTGTGTGTGTGTGTGTGTGTGTGTGTGTGTGTGTGTGTGTGTTTCAATGGTTAAGAGCACAGGCTGCTTTGGCAAAGGACCCAGGTTTGGTTCCTGGCATCTACTGGTGCCTCACAGCCATCTATAACTCAAGTTCCAGGGGATCTGACATCCTCTCTGTCCTCTTCAGGCACAGATGACACACATGAAAGTAAAATGCTCATACACACAAAACCTTTAAAAATTAAAAAACCAAAATGGGGTGAGGTGGGTGGTGGAGAGGTGGGTGCTCTTGCAGAAGACCTGGGTTCAATTCCCAGCACCCACAGAGCAGCTTGTAACTGTTTGTACCTCTTGTCCCTGGGGATCCAACACCATCTTCTGGCCTCTGTGGCCTCCAGGATGCAAGTGGTGAATAATCTGTACGCGCAGGCCAAACACCCACATACATAAAACAGAGATTAAAGGGTGGGCAGGCCAGCAAGATGGCTAAAGGTGATTACTGCCAACAATAACAACCTGAGTTTGATCCCTAGAAGCCACATCGTGGAGAGAGAGAACCAAAAGTTGTCCTCTGACCTCCACAAGAGCACTGTGGCACGTGTATCCACACACATACACACATAAGATAAAATTTAAAAATGCAAAAAATGCAAAAAAAAATGTAAAAAAAAAAAAAATTTAAAAATGCAAGCCGGGCGGTGGTGGTGCACACCTTTAATCCCATCACTCAGGAGGCAGAGGCAGGTGGATCTCTGTGAGTCTATCTGAGGCCAACCTGGTCTACAGAGCGAGTTCTAGGACAGCCAAGGCTACACATAGAAACCCTGTCTCAAAAAACAAACCAAAGTAATGTAGAGAAAGGGGAAGTGTTATCCAGCTGCATGCTTCATTAGGAAGATAAGAAGGGGTCAAGAAACTAAGAAGGAGCATCACTAGGTTCTAAAGAAGGGACCAGGGCCTGGGCCAGGGGTACCTGGTGCTCTGTGGCCTCCAGGATGCAAGTGGTGAATAATCTGTACGCGCAGGCAAAACACCCACATACATAAAACAGAGATTAAGGGTGGGCAGGCCAGCAAGATGGCTAAAGGTGATTATCCTCCAAGGGACCCATAGTCAGGGATTGACGCATGCCTGAGCCCCTCACATGAGTGGAGAGGAAACCAGCGTTGAGAGCATTCTAACAAAGGAGTTAGAGGAAACGTTATGTGAGACAGTGCCCCAAGGCCCCCCACCCCCACCCACCCCCAGCCCAGCAATCTGAGAGTCCTGAGGATCAAGCTGAGATTTTATTTACAGTTAGTTCCCTGGGAAATCTTACAGCAGAGGGGCTGTCTTTATTGCTTTAGGTTTATTGCCAGGAAGAAGACTGCAGTCCTCCGATGCTACATACTAAATCCAGTTCAAGCCCAGGGGTGTCCCCAGACCTTTTACAACCCCGTGTTTTTGCCGGTGGCCCAAAGGCCATCACTAAATCCTCCAAAGCACTTTGTTTTCTAAGGGACACCTTGCCACTTCTGAGATACAGTCATCAAATTTCTTTCTGCCTTTGGCAACATTGTCTTCCCACCTTTATCCCCTCTCTGCAAGCACAAAGTGTGACCCTAGCTCTAGATTTAAGTCCTCCACCTCCAGGCAGGAGGCAGGATTCTGGTTTCCAAAGATTGTCATTTACTTTCTGCCAGGACCAGCCTGGCTTCTATTGAACAAATACTACAAAAGCCCCGTTTCCTGTGCTCCAGATTACGCGATAACTCACTAGGTTCTTGCCACTTTGATGACATTTCAAGGCCCATTTGTGAGGTACTCTCAATGTTTCTTTTATCTGCTGGATGTTTT